TATTGCGAAAAAGACAAAAAGCAGACCAAATGCTTTAAACACTGTTTGTAATTTTTCTTTTAACTCTTTCACATAACTTTTAAGAGGTTTCTATTTTTTTATAAAAAATTTTTTTAATGTCATAGGTTGAATTGCTTAAATTTGGATCCTCTAATCTTGGTATTAGTCCTCATGATACAGTAAGTTTAACAAGAATGTGTATGTCCATTAAATTCCTTTAAAGTATATTTCTAATGAAACTATTTTCTTTGATGGATATGATAGATGCTTATAGCAGAACGGCTTTATACTCAAGGGTATATATCTTATCCACGTACTGAGACTACTACTTATCCAAAAAATTTTGATATAAGATCCGTTTTGAAGGATCAATCAAGTCATTCCTTATGGTAAGTTGTTAATAGTTCTTAATTTTCTTAAATACAATACTATTAAAAACTTGAAATTATTTTGCAGGGGATCATATGCAAAGGAATTATTTGAAAAAGGATTTGAATGGCCAACAGGAGGCACTGATGTTGGTAAATATATATATATATGGAAATTAACTTTGAATGAGTTTAGCATTGTAAATAGCACATATTAACCTTTTCTTATTTAGGTGATCATCCACCTATGTATGTATATTTAAAAATATAACGAATAATTATATTTTCTCATATCTGAATGTAATCGTTTTAGAACTCCTATGCGAGTAGCAAATGAAGGTGATTTGTCCGGTGATTCTTGGAGAATTTATAATTACGTAACTCGGCATTTTCTTGGTTCAATCAGTCCCAATTTAAAGTATCAAAAGACAAACGCCATTATAAAAATTGGTGATGAAACTTTTGAATGTTCAGGTAATTATTTTATGAACACTTATTGATTCTTTAAATTTTTCCTAAAATATTATGTTATTCCATATTTACAGGCAAACAAGTGTTGCAACCTGGGTTTTCTTATATTATGCATTGGTATGAGCTTTATTATGATATCTGACTTAGATCTAGTTATAGTCGCTAATTTATATGCGTATAGGAGCACAATGTCAGATAAA